TATTGTGGCTCAATAAATTCTGCTCGAAATGTCATCCAGTAAACTATACTGTGTCACTTTGTGCTATATCAATCAAATAAACAATCTAATATGTAATTATATTCTACTACAATGCTGAAATTTTTCTATTACCATAGTTCGTTAACAAGGTAACTCATTAAGATTCAAATTTAGTAAGAATTTGTTCCACTTCTTAGAGTTGGACAAGTTCTATAGTCGAAAAGGCACTACCTTAACGTTCATGTAACATGCAAGCATGCCTCACTCCTCTACGCAATTAATGCTGTCACCAATAAAGTGACGAAAAGTTCACACTGAAGTAATAAATCGGAGAGAAAACTAAGTATACATAATCAGATATACCATTTATCTTCAGTCACTTTACTGTACAATGATGGCTTTATAAAAAGGTAGAAGTGAAGCTTCGCTTTTATCTGGGATCACATACTAAATATATTCTTTCGTTGGGCTCTCAGCGCTCAAATTTCAACCATCTGATTTCTAAGAGGTTTCTTATTATTGAATAAAAAAGAAATTTCAAGCTTACTTCAGTGTGTAGAGTGTACAGTCACCATCAAACTAAAGTCAGTTGTTTTCTACATCTAAAGACATATTTTTTACCCTGAAATTGTTGGGTAAGTATTCATTGTTTACTGCTCCTAGTTTGACTTCTTTCAAGGTCTAGATTTACTATCAACTTCAGACAGCATTTCGTTGTATCAGGTCATGTTCTCGAAACCACCGCTGTCTTAATTTCACTAAAACTCATTTTACTTTGTCAATGTATTCATTTATTTCCTAAAGATTGACTTGTGATTGTGAATTCGTAATGAAATTTTGGATTTCACTCACTCTGCCTGCTATTAATATACGGGCGATGTTTCAGTAGCGCTGATAGACTGTCACTGATGTTGGACGCTTGAAGGTAATGTACGGCATACTGGCAAGTGTATATGTGACCTCATGGTAATCGGAGCCGTCTCAAAGATCTGAACCCGCATCGTCCAGTTCTGCAGTCACAGACGGGGTAAATGAGTTATTGGAACCACAGTTGACTGCAATGAGGACGGTATGATGTGTATCAGTTAGTCACTGAAAATACTTAAATCGAATTTGCAAAGCATTTCTGCTATTCTCAGTAGTTTATAGTGTAATACTAAATCTTTCGGAATTCAGTGCTCAATGGTAAGTGTCCAGCCTGGATAACTTAAAGTGATAGTCTATTTTCTGTTCATAGGAAAACATCAGGTACTTCACACACTGATTTGTGCATTTCAGTTCATTTGGTCTTTTTGGAACTAGGTATTTGTATAGTTTGATAAGCATCCTATCCAGAAGATCGCTAGAACACCATTTTATGAGGTTGCAGAAGGGTCGGAGTCTATCTGTTTGTCTTAAACAATAAAATCGAAATAATTGTCAAAACTAACTACTAAACAGTAACAAATTTTGCGTTAGGGAATTCTGCCAAAAGTTATGCATCTTCTTCTTCACCTATCAAAACTATGGCCAAAAACAAGGGTGATAATAAAATATTCTGATCCATTCTGCTTTCCCACCATGGCGTCTATTTCCAATCTTACAAATCACCTCCTTGATTGTTCGCTTCATGCAACATGAAATTCCAAATGACCAAGGCTGACTTTCCAAATATTTCATCATGTTATACAACCCGCTTTCCAAACTCATTAGAACCTACCGCATTCACAAGAATTTTGACTATTTTGAGTATGATGGTAAGAACTTTTTTCACATATTTCCCATGGTGTCCCTCAAGTTGCAATGATAGTCAAACACAGTGCAGATGGTGAAAAAATGGATATGAATAGGATTTTAAACCCTCTAGTACGCGATGGCTCCAAGAAAACTATCTCTTCACTGGCCTCTTTGTTCTTTTTTATGGCTAGGAAAGGATTTTTCCCACAGATGAAAGGTCTTATATACATAAGTGCGATGATTTGGTGTTCTCTGGACTATGACACTGTCTTTCGTGTTTCATCAACAAGCCTGACAATATATTCAGAACTAAATTCAAATTACAAAGTGTCAAAGCCTTATCATCCATATCCTAAACTGTGACTCTTCTCCATCATTTCAACATTTAGTTTTGAAAGGGACAGTCAAAATTTTTCAGCTACTGGATTTTGTGTATACACATTTGCAGTTAGCTCTGCCGTTGAATCTGATTTTAATATAATTTAAAATTTGTAACCTCTTGTACTAATACCAGAAATATTATTAGACATGAAAAAGTTGCTAGCACAATCGTTATAGATTAACCTAATATTGAAGCGGAAACCTCCAGGTTGTCGCTATATGCCATTTAAAACACGTGGCATCATACATACAGATTCGACATGTATTTACTCACTATCTCTTGAATAAACTGTGGTATGATTATTTCATCCCTCCATAGTTTATAATTAGCATTTCTAAGTTCGAAGCCTAGTAATCACGGCTTAAGTTCCAGAGAATAGAGAATAGCAGTAAAGGAGAATGCAAAAATAGAATTAATGCCCTGCAAGTGAATAAATACAATTCCATGTCAGATTACTTAATTTTATGTATTACCCTGTGTAACTACATTAGCTACTGAATTATGACTCAATTACAGTTTTCTGATGATAACCGATATCAAGGTGTTTGCATAACTTCCTGGTCTGGTTTATATAGTTCTGTCACCTTTCATTTTTTTTGATTTAATAACAGTAACATTTTCTACATATCCGACTATGGTGTTGAATCACTCTTGTTCCACATGTTAGGCGTTTAATCGGTGAACAAGGATTCAGGGACTAACATCTTTCAACTAGGAACATTAGTATTTAGGATTGTCCTTTTCCCCCACCTTATTACGTGGTTGCTTGTTACGCCATGCACAGGAATGGCTGAACTGTCCTCTAGATTACTTATCTTAGTAGGGTCTATCAATCTACACTTAGATAATTCCAATACTTCTGTACAGTAACAGAACCTGATCGGCAAATTTTATTGATTTACTTGACCTCACAATCATTACACGATATTTGGTAGATGAAATCATTAGTTTAATTGGGTCAACAGAATTCTTAAGTTGAAAAGGATAATCTCAGAGTTATTTTATGAGTTTAAGTGCCACCCTAACCTCAGTTTCCACTTAAAATTTTATTTAGGGCTTCTGATGTAACTTTTTTAGATATCAACACTATGGAGACCTTAAGGTTATTCCTAGTCATGATGTCATCATTGCATCTAAGAGTACTTCTCCTTTTTTCACGAGTCCTTAGGAATTTCAGAATAAGTTTCAGGGAAACGTCAATGAGAAGTTCCTCTTAAACGTTTCATTTCTATATCTAAACTTACCCATTTACTGGTTAGAACGGTAGCTTGATTACTTAAACATTTAACTGGATCCACATTTACTGATTTTCGGTTGGACAAAGTCAGGTTTAGAAATGTGTTGGCGCAAAATGGTTTTCTGTAGACACTTGTGCATAAACCACCGTCTTGTCTTCCTTGTGTTTTTTTTGCTATGGCATAGCCAGTACTTCTCGTTACTTTTCTAACTTGGAAGTAACTTGAATCCCTTCTACCACCGATTTTATGTATGTGAAGAAGTTGTGAATATGTTTGGATGTCAACACAGTGAATGTGTCACCCACATACCTCCATCATTTCTTAGAAGTACTATTAAAGTTCTAAAGTTCTAACACTCCCAACTTCCCACATGTATGTCTTCTATGACCGCAGATATCGCTACTTCTTGGCTCTGCCTGGATATTTTATCTTGAAACTTGAAAACTGTTGAGATTAGATATAAGCGAATTCCTAACACCGTTTCTGCAATGGCTACCCAATTTCTATGAGTGAGTTCAAGAACCGTGTTTAGTTCATTTCCAACTACTTCTAAAGCATTAACGTTCCGTTTGTTAGTATTTAAGTTTGTCACATCATAGCTAACCGTTTCTTCATCCTCTTTTCAATGAATATTATCTTATCTCCGTTTCAACTCATCTCGGTTAGTTAGTCTAGAGTTTTAAGGGTTTCTCATCGACCATAATATTGATGATACATATCTGGATCACTCTTATGTTGGTATATTTTTAAAGTTAGCTGTCGGTCTAATCTGTTAAACCGGTTTGTGAATCTCAGTGGTACTCTCCAGCCGACTTAGATTATCAGTTGTAGGCATTGAGCTAAACCATGGAATCTAGAATGCGCAATTAGTCTTATTTGAGACTCGTCAACTGGATGTATCTGCCTTCTAGTGAGTGATGTTGTTACCATTGGGATTCAAATTACGAACCGATCACTCCAAACGCCAAAGTGTTATCCACTAGAGCACTGATCCATGAAAGAGGATAATGCTCTGGCGTTTGAAGCGATCGGTCCGTAGTTCGAATCCCGTTGGGAACAATACCACTTCCTGGGAGGCAGGTACATCCAGATGACGAGCCCCAAATATGACGAAATGTGCATCCTGGATTCCATTGCTAGCCACTATCCATCATTATTATATAATTAGAAACACAGGCAATATAGAGGCATCCACACAGCAGCCCATATGGTAATTGCGACCGATCATTTCTGTCCAATTAACGACGGTATAATACAATCAATAACACTAACCTAAACCATTTTAACTCACCCAGAGATGGCCTCATCTGACGTATTTAACCGGCTGTAGAATTCTTAATAATACTCATAGCAGTTTCTTAAAGTTTTGTAATATCTTCAGATGGACTCGTTTGAATGAGTTCATCAACCTTTGTGAAGTGATTTGATTTGTGTATAACCAGTGCTGAATCGCTCCCATCAGTTTTGGTAATTACTTTGCTGTTGTCACTTCTTATGTCTATCTCTTCCGGTTTCATTGCATTCTATATTGTTTTGTTCTTTTGTTTCATATCACACTGTGTATTTGATGTATATTTGTGAAATTTCATCTTTGATTTACACCACCAAAACCCAAAAACTCATTTATTCTATCAGTATAATTTTCTGTGTTATTTTTCCGACAGGAATTAAATCTGAATGATATTATTTGTCTGGAACCAGCAGGAACTAATCCATATCCATGGCGTCCTATGAATTTTTCATCTTCATCTGATGATCAATCAAATCTTCATGCGAATATCACCGGGGAAATTCATTCAAAAACAACAGATTCGGAAAATTCTTCAAAGCCAAACAGTGTCAAAAACAGCATCAATAATAGTACTACCAACAATAATGACAATAATAATGAGTCAGAGGATTTAGTAATCCTACCGGATCATGTGTTTGAACTACGTTGTGTTGATGATTTAATTTATTATGTTGGTCAGTTAGGCTATATGGAGAGTATAGATAACGGAAGTGACATGTTGTTGAGGCTACAATGTCGGCGTAGATCTCATTTTCCCACCTTGCCAACAGCGGTTTCTTATGTACGCAAGGCTTCTGCACCTGTCTATGGTTTAGTATTTCTGCCTGAACCGCCTCCAATGACCTCAGACACAAAACTATCAAATTTACTGGAGGTTGGCTTGCCAAAAACATGGAAAACTCAATTAACTGGTAACTGTATTCAAGAGAATGATATCAGTGATGGTGTTTATCGAACGGCTATCCTTCCACCACCTCCAGGGACTGGGTTAGATTTAGCCAGACATTTAGAGACAGCTATACGTCAGTCGCTGCTTCCACTAACATCTAGAACAAGTTCACAAAAAGGTTTAACACCGAAGACAAACAGTCAACAGCAGCAAACTCAGCAAGAAGAACGAGTAGTAGAACAAACACTAGACATACAAGAGCCTATTTCTCCATCTTACACTACCAGTAAATTCATCATACCAAAGATTGTAACAACCAGTTTGTCGACTGATAAAATTCAATCTAACTCATCAGCCATGTTAAGCCAATCTTCCCGAATCCCTGAAGACTCAAAAGAAAAAGTTTCGGATGAGAAGATAACTGAAGTGCCAGACTTGGAACCTGCTGAAGAAACTGACGAGGGAACAGGTAAGCTATTATTACCCACTTTGATCATTTATAATTTTATTTGCTCTGATCGAAATTCAATGATATGCAAGTGTGATCCTGTGAACTGCATGTTCAGTTAATTGGAAGACTGATGATGGCTTGATCAAGATGTGGTACTAGTTACTGAAATCTGTAACTGTTGGTCTGAGTTGTGTGGAGGAGATGTAGGCTATTTGGTTAGGGTTATAGAGGTGATAATAAAACAGTGGTTGAACACTCTGTATGGAATATTTAAGATTGGTCAAAACTGTACATATGGATTTACCCTTTGTCATCTTCAAAGTCTTGAAAATGTTTACTTCTTCTATCTTTTCTCGTACACTTTTGTTAACTTTATATCATTCACTTTCTATCCTCCTTTCCTTTATACACTACTCTGAAGTGTGCAACTTGAACTGACACACTTTCTTGTCAGATTCCACGTTGATCTGTTCTTCTGGCTCCCTGATGTCACAAAACAGATGAATTTAAAAATAATCGCCACAAACTAGTATGCCATTCAATATACTAAAGTACGATACTGTCTACCACTGGTGTGTAACTAATACCAATGTTGTCATTCATCAGCGTAATTTCTGGGATAAATTCTAGAGCTTATTATATTTAGCTTATGTTGATCACAGTTTGATCGATTTTACAAACATCGACAGGTTGTACTTTCAAGGCTTTTCATGTCATCAATCATCGTATTGTTATTGTTATTGTCATTTTAAACCTTGTCAACAAATAAACTATTCTCAACTATGTACTTTTCAGCTTCCAGTTAAGATTTTTCCATTTTAAAGGCTGAAATAATGATAAGATTTTCATACAGATAAAAAAAATGAGATCAAACGAGAAGAGTTTCGACAAAGAAAAATGTACAAACAATGTGAAGACTCAAAATACTTGAAAGGTAGTATATTCAATTCCAGTCCATATATTTAAACAAAATCTGACTAAAGCCCATCTCATATTAAAGCCACTTTAATGTACTAAGAAAAACAGATAAACCAGTCGATTAGCTTATGCGTTTTCATTGAGGACCAAACTGAACGATACCGTGTGTGTAAGATATACTTAAACGTGCAATTTTACCTGAAATAAAAATGGGATGCAAGGAGTTTCGAAGCATGTTGTCGATGCTATCTATTGAAATAAACCGAGTACTGAATTTTTAGCTATCTGATTAGTGTCCTATAAACCACTAAAATCCATAGTTGAAGATTCCACGCAATATAGCATAGTATCAACTTATTTTTAAATTCTGAAAGTCTTAACGTATTTTATTTTTTTTTGCTCTTTACCGATGACAATTTGGGTAGTTTCACCGAAGGAGTATCATTTTCCTAGTCAGTAGGTTGGGCTTACAAAGTGACTAATCATTGTTTAGCTAATTCACAGCATAAGTTTGAGTTTTAAGCAACCTTTAGAAAGCTTGTAAAGTTTTTTGATACTTGTTGAACCTTGTTAAAGTTAGAACATTTGATATAGATAACATGTATAACCTTAGATTTAAACTTGTGTTATTTGGTACTAGAATCAGAACTTGAGTTTCCGCATATTTAAAGACACCTTCCAGAAGAGTAAAAACAGGCACCGAAGTATGATCAAGTTCGTCGTGCCTCCAATTGATTCCAAACATCAACCACAGTACTCTGCAGGAGTGTACCACTCAGCTTGCTGACTATTTCATACCTCTAATGAACAGATTCTCAGCCGAGCCGTAGAACAAACTGCTACTTTGGTCACCACCTGGTGGCCACTTCGTTTAAAGTCAGGAGGGTTGTAACTAAGTTGTCGAAACTCGTATTCACTCACCGTGATACTGAATTATGTATACAAGACTATCAGTAAGCAGGAATTACTATCGTGGTCTCATCTTGTACGTTACACGGCGGTGGAGATTACCTGTTGAATAATCTTCTGGGTAAACTAAGCAAGAAACTGAATACGAGCAACACAGGTCCTTCCCCATGACTAGTCTTCATTGACTGCATGTTTCAGAATAACAAGTAAAACAGTGAACTCGATTAACTAATTCACTTATTCATGAGATTCCATCAACGCTGATGAAAGAAATTTGTTGAGGAAATTTAATCTTCGAGACAAAAACTGGTTTCGCATCGGTTAACTTGTGCTATCTCTGCCATCAATGAGATAACGATAAGTTTACTTCATAGAAGTTAACTCTATCCAACCTCGTGACAGTAATACAAGGTCGCTGAAGGCAAATACATACTATTGCAACGTTTGATCACAGGTATCTTCTTAGAACCACTGGTTAGCGCTGAAATTGGAAAAGTAAGTACTGCTGTGGTTAAGAGTGAATCATTTAGCAAGAGTGTGAACGTCTACCAACTAAGGCTGTCTGAATATCCCCTAGGCACATCAAATTATGATCTGCCTTGTGATGGCGCTATTACTAATATCTCCACTTTCTGTAAAAATCGAAAGATATAACAGACCATCTTATCCACCATCAACTCTACTTCTGAGAATGGTCTGATTTATGATAAATCGTGGACATTATATAGCATCGAAAAACTGTGGTAATCACTAAAATTTCCATTATTTTATGAGTAAAATGCCATGGTAATTAACCCATTGCTTCTAATCTAAGAAGCTTCTTCTTGGTAAGCCTCGCTTTAAAGCGAAGCCACTGAATTGTCAACAATAGGTTTGTCTTCGTGATCTAAAAGCCTCGAACTGAATGGGACTTTTTCGGTTGTAGTTTGTTTAGATGATGACTTACCACCATCAGTATCTCATGGGAGAAAGTTCTTCCTCATACTTTCTGTCGACAAGCTTTTGTTACCACCACTTCGTCATGCAGCTGAACAGGCCTAAAGATAATCCATGGATTGTTGAACTCGATCTACATCGGTACATTTGTTGAAATGAACTGGTCTCCTTGCTTTCTAATTAATATAAGATTGATATTTAAAAGTTTTGGTTACGCTTAAATGTTCACAGTCGTTACCAAGACATTGATAACAGGTAGTTAACGATACCTAGAACATTATCTGATTAATTGAGCTGTAAAGGTATTTTTCACTTCCTAAAAGCTATATGGTTGGAGATTTCTCAGTGAAATGCATATCAGTAGTTTTTCGTCAAGACACAATGTACAATGTCGCTTAGGTGTTAGTTTGTGACTGCATTTGTGAACGTTGTCGTAAGAAAACCGAAGACCTGAGACTTCCTAGAAAGAAGTCAAAATGGAAATCCACTCAGTACAGTAGGCAACGAGCCACGCCTATTGTTGTTTGAGGGCTAGTAAAGCTGTCTGATTGCCCAAACCTTGGTAGGTGTAGTTGGGCCCATCTCGTAAACCATGAATCGGAAGTCGAGCGCCTAGACCACTGACCCTTATCACCACAAACTTGCAAGAATTCATCATAAACTGGAATGTGAAATGTAGATGAGAATAATGATTCAAATGTTTCAGTCAAAACATCATTTGAAGAATAAAATTTTATTGTATAGGTCCTCATCTTCTGCAAACAGACTTCTGGGGATATTGTCATCAGTTGATAAAAAATAAATAACATACCTTGTATTTAAAATCCTAATGGGGTTAGTACAATATTTTGGCACTCGATTGTAGGCGTACAGTACAATGAGCACAAAATGGAAGGAGAATAGCACAACTGAATCAATCTATATTTGAAACTTATTAATTTCTGTCATGTTGAGAGTAAGACGGATTTGATCATAACCCTCTAGACAATGAAAGAGAAACTCTGCTCTGGAAGGATGCAGCATGTTAAACTTATTTTGGCTCCACGGTCCACATCCATTGAAGAATCAAAGACGAGTTTTGCAGTACAGCAAGAAAGAAGCCTGTCTTTCTAAGACTAACCTTCAAAACATACCATGTTTCTAAGGAAACTAACAGAAGAATCAGGAATACAATGGCATTTATGATTTGGCTTATTTGACACTAAATTACCCAATGATATACCTCACTGTAAATTTAACAGTAGACATCTTCCTGAATCGCATTGCCTACATCAAAGTTTATCATTACATAGGCATACGTCAAAACAAGTACATTGAATGAACACAAAGAAGGCTAGTGTGCTGTTTTTGAAATCGAATTATGAATCAATTGCGGGATTCTGAAGACCGCCATAGCAACGGCTTATATAACCAATTAATTTTCTCCAATTTGACCAATAAGTTAGTTTTTTCATAAAATGATAAATCTAACTGGTTGCCTCAACAGTTAGGGTCATATTTAGAGCTAATCAATTAACTTGTAATGCGGAATTACACTAGAAGAATGAAACTTGTAAATGTGATTTAATTTACTCCAGCAACGACTGAATTAAACGAACAACTTTAGAGTAACTCAATTAAAGATTGGAATGAACCATCTGGATTTCATTATTTCAGCTCAAAAGATACTTGTTAAGACAATAAAGAACTCTAATTAGTTATTTAAGTGGTCTTAAAGTTTTCCTTTAAAATCACTCGATCAGACAATTAAGTTTTTTATTTGGTTGGAAAGGCAGATTTTCTCAAGATAACGAAGTTCAATTGACTACTTCAGTTGTTGATGCGTTATCTTAAAGGTGACTTAGTAGACCGTGACATTTAGAGAGTACACAGCCAATCATGAAAGTTTACATACAAATAAAGAGTCGAATTATAATCAGTAACTATAATGTTCATCTTCACAACTGTTAAAATGGCCAATCTGGCTTATCTAGTTTACTGAAAACTACCTTTCTAGTCGAAATTGAAGAACCTGATTGGTTATTTCAGTGGTTTCAGAGCAAACTTTTAAAGTCACACCTATTATAGCGATGCATTTATGTCACATGTACAGGAGTACGGATTAGGGCTTGAAAAATGACAGTCAACTTTAAAGGCCACTGTAGCAACTGCTGAGATAACCAATCCATGTTTCTTCATTTTGAAAATAACCATCCTTATGCCTGAAAAACTGAAAGGTGATTGGCTATTTCAGCAGTTGCTAGAGTAGACTACAT